TTCGATCATTTGCATGAATAGTAAACAAATAGAACACACAACCCTGAGAGGTTTGGTTGTTAATCCAGTGTTTCTTTGTGTTACAGGTGAGGTGTGTCTCGCACAAGAATATTTGTGATTGTCTGGAAGGATATGATCAAAAGTAGTCTGTGGGCTCCAGGAAGACATTCATAAAAAGTAAGTCAAAATAGATTTAATAATGTTATATCATTTTTACACAGTCGCTGTGTTCCAAAAGTATACTGATAACAGAATAAACTGTTCCATTCATTTTCTCCCAGTCATCCATTTGGTGCAATTATGTCTTTTTAACATAACTTCTCCTCAGTTCTGCTCTATCTCATGTTAAGATACATATTTCAGTGTGGATCATAATGGTGTAATTATGAAACAGAAGAATTGGAAAATTATGAGCCATAAAACACCCTATGGTATTTTGATTTTCTTATAAATTAACTTGAATCCCAATGACGGAGCTTACTGGTGTAAAGGATTTTTAGCTCATCAGAAATCTATTTATAGCTTGAAGTCCCAGCTTCTATGGTGGTATGAATATTTTTTAATTATTTCCATGGCAGTAAGGATAAAGAGGATTTAAGAACACTCTATATAAAAAGCCCACACACTAACTGTGTTGCTGAATAAATGCAGTAAACAGGCCTTAGGTGTTTTTTAATCACTCCTCTATTAGTATATTATTTTTCCTTTTCCTTTTTTTATTTTTCAACATTAATGGTAAAATGACAAGCTAATTTTTTCAACATTAATGGTAAAATGACAAGCTAATAATAGCATTAATGTGAAAGTGTCTTCCCACTTTGGTTGTTTTTGCTCGTAGGTGCGGTTAAGCATCATGTCTCCTCTGTGGTCCGATGCGCCCTCTTGACCCTGATGACCACTACACCACGATTGACCCCAGAGTCCCCATTGACCTCAGACCTTTTTTACAAGCCTTGAGAAAAGAGTCAGTAAACCTTGGACACAAGCTGCAGCAGGGTGAGAGGACTGTGCACCAGTAACATTAGACAAAACAAAACAGTCTCTTTTATCAATCAAGCAAATCTAATAGCTAGGGTTGTAATGATTGTATTGATTATTTGTCTATAGCTCATTTTGTTTTAAAAAAAATTGTGGTGAAATTATTATTATTATAATTATTAAAGTATTGTGAACAAAAAATTAGTGAATCCAATCGTATCATGAGTTGAGTATATCGCTACATCCCTACTAATTACATCTCAGACATGTTTTGTGTTGCAACAAATAATGCTCTACTGTCTAAAACTTACAGTGTGCCAGACACAGCCCTCAGTTGTTGATTGGAACATAAATCACAAACGGCACTGAAACTCATAAACTTGTTTTCCTTCCTCTCCACAGTGGTCTTCCAAATGCCTACCTCACGCCTAAAGAGCATTTCACTCCAGCCACAGCCCTGATCAGCAGCCACCATGACATCAAGCATAGGGTATGCAACAAAGCAAACAAACACGCACGCAAACATATGACATGCACGTTGTACTTTGCGACCTCTGTAATGGTTATAGGAGAATGTCCTTCTCTGTGTTTCCTGCCCTGTGCATTCCACCTATTGTTATTGTTAGGTCATTAGTATAATATTTAATGGTAAGCATGCTTTGGACTGTGTCATTTGTAGATATTGAAATGTCTCAAACCACAGGTGTCACTGATCACAGTAATGATAGCCCTGTTTATTTCACTCCGCCCTGACCCAAGACATTGAAGAATCTAAATATAATTCAGTCATTATTTGACTATTTAATCAGATTCTTCTTATAAACCTTTAAACATGCAGCTTATTTTACCTTCCTCCCAGTCAGAGGGTCGTTGATTAGTATAATGTTTTCAATTGTACAATATAAAATGTGAAATTATTGTAGCTGTTCAATTGACTGCAACAGCAAAACGTGTATTTTTGCTTTACCATGATTGTCCTATATAAATTACATGCAATCAGAATCACGCCTCGTTGCCGGATTGCTCTTGTAACCTCTTTGGCAAGTGAGATGCATTCCCCTCTCGCCAGAGTGTCTGCTTGATGCTTTTTTGTGTGACCTAAAAATAAAGCTACTGCTGGCACATAGGCATCCTCTCATTAGCTGACAACCATCATTAACTATTCACCACAACACTTATCTGCTCTGAAGCTGCCAGTAAATGCACACGGACAAGCTACTGTGAAACTTGAATGAATTATTTTCTCTCTTCCTGTAGGGATGATTCTAGTATTTTTGATGGGTTGATGGAAGAAGATGAAAAGGACAAAGCAAAACGGTAAGAAATATCAAGAGGCCGACTTACTTCAATGAAGCTTTTCCTGTGCTATTTAAAGTCTTTGTCTTCTGACATAGATTTATTGACAAGTGAGCAGCGTTTTGACAGCTCCATGAAAATGCAAAACAACTACAAAAACAGAACAAAATATCCAAATATAATAAACAAATAGCAGCCTACAAAAACCTTTACACTCTAAGACTGCATTTACACTACGGGCAACAGTGGCCAGACATTCTGTTTGATATGTGACCCATATCTGATTTTTTTAATGAAATTCTTTAATTGCTGACATCATTCATATTTACTGTTGCAAACTCAGGGTCTGGTGTCATGTCTTCTTCTTCGCTTGTGGGTCATATTACACTGGAGTCTGATGGCAGTTACATTTTAACTAAACAACCAACCACAAAAGCTCATAATTAGGCAAATAGACACAGTCTACAGTGGTAGAGTAGCCTCGTTTAAAACTGATTTAATTTACAGAGTGTCTCGGAACAAGTCGGAGAAGAAACGGAGAGACCAGTTCAATGTCCTCATCAAAGAACTTGGCACAATGTTGCCAGGCAACACCAGGAAGATGGACAAGTCCACCATCCTGCAGAAAAGCATCGATTTTCTGTGTAAACATAAGGGTCAGTGATTTCTTTTATTTTGTGTTTTTCTGTTAACGGTACTCAGATCAACTCAGCACCTTTGTTGAGCTTCATCATTTGCTCCAGTTCCCACTGCTGTGTGTGTTGGTTTATGATGAAAAAACAATCTGGGAACAGGTCTGAATGGCTAACATAGAACTCTCATGGGAAAGGATGTTTAATGACTTATAATCACTGTACTAATTTATGTGTTTGCTGTTTAAATTTCCATTCACATTCATGTCTTCCTCTTCATTAGCTGAGCTAAATGCAGCCTGAATGTTAAGACCTTTTAATACTAACATTTATTTACTGCAAAGGCGTCCAGATTTTTTCCTGTTGTGCATGCTAAATCTGTCTCTGTTGATCTGTTGCCGCCAGTTATCATTTTTGTCTTTAATTTCTATGTAGAATCACGACAATCCATGTGGTCACTGATGTTGTCTTCCTTTAGTCATGTTGATTCACCAAATTGTGTTTTTACCCCCATGAAATACGCTATTTTATTGTTGAATAAAATATGTTTCTCTTTCCTTCATCAGAGATCGCAGCCCAGTCGGAGTCCAGTGAGATCAGGCAGGACTGGAAGCCTCCATTTCTTAGCAATGAAGAGTTCACACAGCTCATGTTGGAGGTCAGAAATATTACATCACTATATGTATGGATGTGTGTTTATATAATAATAATTTATGATCAGCTTCTACAGAATAGAGACAACTCTGGTGATACTGTGATTTCTCTAATCAATGTGTTATTCATAAAAACTACATTGTCCCTCATGTGTTTTTGTTACTCTTCTACACATTTACTTTAAGCTACCAAAAATTGGTAACAAAAGAAAAATAATTCCATAAAATGATTTGTGCTCATATAAAAGGAATGTTTTGAAGCAGTTACGGGCAGAATAGAACAGAAATTCATATAGGCAGTAAAGTAATTTTTAAAAAATAATCTCT